GGCTTATGAGCTTGCTTTGCCACCCAGCTTGTCGAGTGTGCATTCGGTATTTCATGTTTCTATGCTCCGAAAGTATATTGGGGATTCGTCTCATGTTTTGGACTTCGGCACGGTTCAGTTGGATGATGATTTAACCTATGATGTGGAGCCAGTAGCTATTTTGGGTCGTCAGGTTCGAAAGTTGAGGTCAAAGGATATAGCTTCAGTGAAAGTGCAGTGGAGAGGTCGGCCCGTGGAGGAGGCTACCTGGGAGACCGAGCTGGAGATGCAGAGAAAATATCCTCAACTATTTGAGGCTTTAGGTTTGTTTCTTGACTCGTTCGAGGACGAACGTTTGTTTAAGAGGGGGAAAATGTTACAGCTTGTCCGGTCGTTTCATGAGTTATCGCTCTGTTTCCCCCATTTCTACTTTTTTGTGTGTTGTTCAGCTTTATTTCATCGTATCATTTTGGTTGGTTCAGGTTTGTAGTAGTTTTGGAATGTTATGAGACACTTAGTCTCCTAAGTTGGCCTTTTAGTTGGAAAAGTCAACTGGAAGTTGACTTATGTGAAAACAATCTCAGAATTTGGTTTTTATGGTTTGGATAACTTTGTTAGGTAATTTGGTACTTAGGAGCGTGATCGGAATATATTTTGGAGGTCCGTGATCGATTTAGGCTTGAATTGGCGAAATTGGATTTTTGCATTTTCCGGTTGGTAGCGGAAATTTTGATATCTAGGTCAGAATGGAATTCTGGAAATTGGAGTAAGTCCGTTTTGTCATTTGGGATGTGTGTGCAAAATTGCAGGTCATTCGGATGAGGTTTGATAAACCTTTTGACCGAAAGCGGAATTTGAAAGTTTTAGAATCCTTAGGCTTGAATGTGAGGGTGTTTTGGTGATTCGATGTTGTTTTGAGTGTTTCGAAGGTTGGTATAAGTTTGTATGTTGTCATATGACTTGTTTGTACTTTTGGTTGAGATCTCGGGGGCCTCGGGATGAATTCGGAAGTTTTTTGGAAAGTTTGGCTTTGGATATAAGCAGTTGAAGTTGCTGCTCCTGTCATAACTGGACCTCGAGGTTGGGTACCGCAGGTGCGTGATCGCAGAAACGTTGGATCAGCCGCAAATGCGACAAAGTGAGAGGAAGCCAGAAGTCGCAGGTGTGGGAGATGTATTGCACCTACGAGACTGCAGGTGCGGAAGGTANCTTTCCCCATTTCTGCTTCTTTATGCTTCATTATCCGTGTTTTAGGTGATCAGGTTGATTAGATTGAGTTCGGAGAGGATTTGGTAAGAAATGAGACACTTAGTCTCTTTTAAGAAGGTTTAAGTTGGAAAAGTCAACNCGTCTCATGAATTACCGCTCCGCTTTCCCCATTTCTGCTTCTTTATGCTTCATTATCCGTGTTTTAGGTGATCAGGTTGATTAGATTGAGTTCGGAGAGGATTTGGTAAGAAATGAGACACTTAGTCTCTTTTAAGAAGGTTTAAGTTGGAAAAGCCAACCGGGTGTTGACTTATGTGTTAGAGGGCTCGGATGTGAGTTCTGATGGTTCGGTTAGCTTCGGGAGGTGATTTATGACTTAGGAGTGTGATCGGAATTGGTTTTGGAGGTCCGGTGTAGAATTAGGCTTGAATTGGCGAAGTTAGTATTTTGGCAATTTCCGGTGGGTAGGTCAGATTTTGATCCGAGGGTCGGAATGGAATTCCAAGAGTTGTTGTAGCTTCGTTATGTCATTTGTGATGTGTGTGCAAAATTTCAGGTCATTCGGACGTGCTTTGGTTGGGTTTTTGATCGAAAGTGTATTTCAGAAGTTTTTAGAAAACTTAGGCTTGAATTCAATGTGAATTGATGGATTTGGTGTTGTTTGAGGTGTTTTGATGATTGGAACAAGTTTGAATGAGGCCTTAGGATGTGTTGGTGCTTTTGGTTGAGGTCCCGGGGACCTCGGGTGAGTTTCGGATGGTCAATCGGACCATTTTGGAGTTTGAAAGTTGCAGAAAAATCTGCCCAGCTATTGAAGAGAATTATCTCTTCGCGTTCGCGTAGAAGAATTTGAGGAAGGCCAGAATTAAGCCTTCGCGTTCGCGAGAGGTGCCTCGCGTTCGCATGAGGCTCTCCGCGTTCGCGTATAAGGATTTGGGGTCTAGTGGAATTTGCTCTTCGCGTTCGCATCAGGTGTCTCGCATTCGCGAAGGTCAAGGCGGAAGAGGCATCGCGTTCACGACTGACGTGTCGCGTTCGCGTAAGGTAAAAGTTGGTCAACGTAAATTTGTGCTACGCCGCGTTCGCGTAGAAGGAAAGTCAGACCTGGGCAGAAAGTTTATAAGTTATTTCATCCGCGATTTTGAGTCATTTTTCTTCCATAGTTAAGCATTTTGAGAGCTTTTTGAGGGTGATTAAAGAAGGATTCAAGGAGAATTGATTGGAGGTAAGATTTTTGAACCTAAAAACGTGATTCTATTGTGAAATCAACCTAGAAATTCTTGGAACTTAAGCTAAAAATGGAAGAACTAGGGCTTGGGATTTTGAACTTTTGAATTGGGATTTGAAGGACCATTTGAGGTCGGATTGGAGAACTTTTGATATGTATGAACTCGTGGGGTGATAAGGAATCTAATGATGTGAAAATTTCTGAGTTTCGAGAAGTGGGCCCGGGGCTCGGGTTTTGCTAATTTCGGGATTTTTGATATTTTTCGATTGTTTTCGCTTGGGTTTTGTTCCCTTAGCATATTGTGACGTATTCGTTCTGATTTTGGATAGATTCGATGCGCGTGGAGGCCAATTCGAGGGGCAAAGGCGTCACGAGCTAGAGTTGTAGCCGGTTCGAGGTGAGTAATGATTGTAAATGATGTCCTGAGGGTTTGAAACCCCGAATTGCACATCGTAGTGCTATATTGAGGTGAGACACACGCTTGATGATGAGCGTGGGGTCATTTACTATTGGGGATTGTGACTTAGTCCGTCCCGATTGATAATTTTACCGTGTATTTGACTGAAATTTAATTGTTATCATCACGATTTGGGTTGATTGCCATATTTGGGCTTCGTGCCAATTATTTGAACCCTTCGGGGATTTTTTTTCACTAATTCCTCACTGTTTTGACTTATTACTTGAACTCAGTCCTGTTGATATTTACTGTTTTAAAAACTCAACCGTTGTTACTCATATTTGAAACTTAAATGATATTTCTAAATGATGTTTTGGGCTGAAAACTATTGTTTTACTAATACCCGAGGGGCTTGTGATGAATTTTCGGATTGAGTGAGGCCGAGGGCCATATGTGAGGATATGCTGAGTGATATGAGGCCGAGGGCCTGAGATACTTTTATACGCCACGAGGTGGCTTGAGTGATGTGAGGCCGAGTGCCGAGAGATGATGCCACGAGGTGGCTTGATATAGCGCTTGGGCCGTAAGGGGCCCATTCGGAGTCTGCACACCCACAGCGAGCGCGGGTACCCATCATGATCTGAGAGTGAGTCTGAGGGGCTAATACTGTACTGAGAGTGAGCCCGAGGGGCTGATACTGTTCTGAGCGATTGTTATTGTGCCCGAAGGGCATATTTCTACTTGTTAATTACCTGTTTTACTTGGTTTAAAGGGATTCCATTTGACTTCTTCACTGATTTACTGCTTTAAGTGATTTTACTGATTGATATAGAACTGCTTTGTGTCTTTACGTGTTTTCTTGCTTTCAGCCATTATTTATGATTATTACTCACTGGTCGGAGTATTCACATTACTCCCTGCACCGTGTGTGCAGATTCAGGCATCGCAGAGTTCGCTCCTGAGAGCTGATCCTCCCAGTCCAGGCAGTGTTTTCGGAGACTACGAGGTAGCTGTTGGCGTCCGCAGCCCACGTGCCTCCCTTATCTTATTACTTTTATATTCTTCAAACAGTGATACCAGATATTATATCTAGTAGACTCGTATCAGGATCCTTAGTTGCTCATGACTTGTGACACCCCGGTTTGGGCTGTGTCGGGATGGTTTCCACTGTTGTTATCGTAAATTCCGCAAATTATGGTTATTATATCATGTTTTAGAACTATTTATGGTATTTAACTGTTTAAAAGAGGTGTTCTGTTTTGGTCTAGCTAGCCTTGTCTTCACGAGAGGCGCCATCACGACCGGGTTCGGGGTTAGGGTCGTGACAGTAATTTAATTTTCTTCCACCCAAAGCAACAATATGGAAACTTTTTCTTTCACGAACAAATGAAACTTTTTGACATGGAAAGTTTCATTTTGGAAATTTTTTCCCAAACTTCTCTTTTTACCCGAAATTTAACTGGCACTTCTTACCTACCCCCATGTCTAACATACTTGTATTAATTAGTGATAGCTTTTCAAATTATGTCATTCTCCTATCAAAAGGAGATCGGATCAAGTCACTCTCCATCACATCACCCTAAACCTTAAAAAATACCTCCTAGAAGAAGCGACGCTTAAGGCATCAGCAAGTAGCTCAACAAGTCTATGTGTCGGTGTTATTAGGAACATAGTGGACGAAGCCATGGAATTCGTCTTTGATCACAATCAGTGTGTCAACAATGAAACCTGCAGGCGCAAGAATATGTTGTGTAGCATCCTTCTCCATCTCGACAATGCAGGCTAGTTCTACACTTCTCCTAGATCCCTTGCACCAAGCATTGACTAGTTTATATTTTAGTTCTTGTTTATTTGTTGTTCTGCTTGGGTAATGCTTAATGGTATTTTAATGTATTTCTATTGATGGTTTGATTATAGTATGTTTAGCTTCCATTATGTTACTCAATGTCCCTCTTGTTGCTAATGCTCATATTTTCCCATTAACAAAAAGAGAATAACATTAGGAAACATAATTGACTTAAAACGTGTTAAGTATATGCAACATCAATTAAATTACTTTATTTAATATGGTCTACATAAGTATAAAGTGTTTTAAGTTTTCTCCTTGTTCTTTTGTTAAGAGGCATAGTTCCCCGCTCCCCCCCCCCCCCCAAAGTATTCCACAAAGTCCTCCCCTCTTTGCAATCTAAGTTGATTAGCAGCTAGTGCAATTCAGAGAAATTTATCCACCGGCGTTACTTAAGAATATGATATTTCCTACTTTACTTAACAGAAATGAGATATGAAAAGAAAAAACAATTATAACCAAAATTACATTTCAGGAAGGATATGAACTATAGCTTCATGGAACTCTTGAAAAATAGTGGAATGTAATCCCAAATTATGTGGGAAACTACAGCAAAGATATCATCTTTTGAACAACTAAAACTTATATGTGGCGAATGTATGACTGAAAATAAGCTATTACTTCAGTAAGTTTCAAAAAGTAATATTAACTAACACAATTTACCTCATGATAGATGGCATTTTCCTTTCCCTTCCTTATAAGTTATAACACTGATTTGTAGTTACTTACTACTATACTTTTTTTTACAGAAGCTAAGAATTCAGGTTTCAAACTTGTACTTAAACCATACTAGATGCTCAAATTGCTAATCAAAATTTACACTATATGCCTTGAAGCTTGAACTTGTTTTCTAAGGTACCTCCTATTCTTTCAGAGCCTCCTGATGGCCCCTGCTACTCCACCCAACCTCCCCACATCCTCAGAAAAAACAAATAAATAAAAACTACAATGTGCAGTGGAAAACGACCACCGTGTGACATGCTTCCATGAGACGTAATCGGATGCCACAGATAGGGTGCATAGAATGCTAAAAGGATCAAAGCCTTCATGCGATCCTTATTGTTTTCATGGCCATCTAACATCTTCAATTTCCCTAAAGGCCAGGGTACCTTATATTTAACATAAATATAATCTTAGTAACACCTTGAGCATTTAAAAACTCTCCCAGAAACTCAGTATCCAAAATGTTTCTCTGGTGCATAGCAACAACTAAAACCATGTAAAAAAGGGAAAATACGATTCCATTATGGTCTTATCTCCTATAAGAGAAAGGAACTATGTCAATGTTCCTGATCCCATGAAAATTAATATCATAGAGTTACAGTTTTCTTTGTGAAAGTATACCAGGTGCAAGGAAATTCAACAATGAACAAAAGTACAGTTGATCACTCACCTCCCTGCCTATTATCGCAATTGAAGGTACAGTTAGTAACCATGGCAATTGCCCAAACACACTAGCCTCCAAAGGTCTAGTGCACAACAAGATCAAGGTGGCAGCAACCATTAGCTGTTGCAGTCAAGAAGAATTGTATCAGGACATTTGCACCTTCATTACAAGCAACTATGCTGAAGTGACTCAAAAATTATAGATAATCGAAACAACTTTGCTAGCAAACTTGTAAAAATTCCAGGCAATATGCATGTGCACCAAAGAATAAAGAGAAAATACCTTATCAGCCACTGGATCTAAAAATGCACCAAAGGCAGTTCCTAAGTTCATCTGGACGTGGCAAACCATCCAAATTTGTAAGTTGAGATATAAGCATTTAAAATTCGAGAAGAGACGATTCTATTAAATACCACCAGCATGTACCTTGCGAGCAAGGTATCCATCAAGCCAATCAGTTATTGCTGCAGCAATAAATATACCTGTTGTAGCGGTTGGTCCCCACCAGCTATCAACATAAAATGCTATATTGAAAAGGCTTTACAAAATCAGTTTTGTTTAACAGAGTATCAATTTGAAAACAAATTATGCTATCCCACAAAAAAAGAATCACAGAATGCTATGGCATAATTTGTAAAATAGCTGTGTAAAGGGAAATAACTGAAACTAAAATCCAAGAATTTCTTATATTAAGTAATGAAACAGATCAGCAAACTAATGAGCCACTCATTACAAAACATTACATAAAAGCATACAATAGACTAATAACAAGACAGCTATGTTAAATGATCAGATGTCTGAAACTCTCACTCTCTTTATTCAAATGTTCGGAAGTTTTACAACGGTTAGACCCAGAGTCCGGGACAGTTTCCCTCGTGATGTATCATTTGTCTCTTGCCTCTAAGCAGTATGCACCGTGTTCCGCAAGTTAGCAGTTCAACAAAGAAAAGGGAAATGAAAAACTGAGTCTTCTTTCCTTATCAATTTCCTAAACCATTATTCCATTACACAAAGATATAACTAGTTTTTTTAGCGCACGGAATATTTGCAGGATATCAGTGCATCTCCTCTCCACAGCTAAATACAATACGACTAAAGACCAGATTCCATTAGTTACTAAACCAATCATCTCACCTAATTGAGTAACCCTTTTTTTATAATCGAGAAATGAGCCAATGGCGCAAGGTTAAAAACTGGATAATGGGCCTGCCCTCTATCCTTCTCCACTTCAAACAGGCTTTTGTTAGAGGCCCTGATGTGTGCCTAACCGTGTCTGAACTAGTCCCTGAAACTAGTCACAGGGACGGAGTTGCCCTTGTCCAAAGGGAGTCAATTGACACCCTGTAGCTGGAAATTATACAGTGTTGATAGATCAATCTTAATGTACATATACTATATGTTGAATACCCTTGGCTTCTTCGTATATTTAATTCCTTATATTTTGACTCTCGTTAGTGAAAATCCACTGCCACTAGACCAAAGCCCCTAGGGCCAAATTTAGTAACTTTAATGTGAGATGTATACGTACTTAGTTGAATAGTCAATCTAAATGCATCAATTCTACTAATCAAAGCTCAATAACATAAGAACTCACTGAAAAGGAGAAAAATCAGATTTAATTAAACTGCAATTTCAAATATCACAACTAAATTTACCACATTACACACTCTCATTAGCTAGGGTTAAGAAAAATAACTTTTTGTTTCGTTTAGCAGAACTTACTGGTTACGAGAATCGGGATTGCGGCAACCCGGCCGATCGTCAAAATTGTAGGCAATGTAAGCAACTTAGCAGACTTTGACGGAGATGATGACGGCCGAAATGCAGAGCCCATGCTAAGACAGGAAACACCTAAGACTTTCGCCGGAAATGGATACGCCGGCGCCGGAGTTGCGATCCTCCGGCAACGGCAGATGAATGTCGGCGGCACCGCCTGATGATTTGTATTTACGGCGGTGGAGGTGGAGGTTGTGGTGGAAGTGAAGGTGGGGAAGAAAGTGTAGGGCTTGTGGCCATAAATAGAGGCGAAACTAGCGGTGAGTTTGAGCCCCACGGGCATGGTGTGTAAAATGGTAATAATGCGCATAAAGGCTTAGGTTAGCGGAACTAGTTGGTGAAGAGGCTTATTTTAGACGGAATGAACTCACCATTTATTGAATATTATTATTGGGTTTAACCATTATCTAAATTTTTAATTTATTGACTCGATTAATTCAAATATTTTGTATTTATATCAAAAGTTTCTCTATTCAAAAAGTCTAGACAGAGATCTCTATCATCTCACCATATCGCTTGATATGGAAGTGAGCAATTGACCGTATAGATTATATTACTCGCTTTGTTTTACTTTATTTAATATTATTATTTTTTTATTAGTATGTTTATATACTAGATATGGGTTGCCCGTGCCTTATATGTGATCCGATATGTTTTTACTAACATATTAGCTTCAAAGCAATGAAATTGAAAAAGACACATTCGGGCTATTAGTTTGCACATGCTATAGATAAACTGACAAATTAAATTGGCTAAAGTGATTCGGATCAGATTTGTAGATATTTTGTGAAGATAACTACACCCCCAAACTAATTTGATAATAGTAAAAACCTCACCTTATAATAATAATTTTCTGAAAGAAAGAAAAAGCATTGACCATGAATATGCCATCCATTGAATAAAAATGATTGCGTTAGGTGTATAGGAAAATTACACCTGGACAAACTAAAACCCTTCATGCTAAAACATCGACTTTAGTGCTAGAAAGTAGAACTATGATTTTAATGACACAGAGCTAGTCGACTTTTCCTTTACACAACCTAATTTTCACTCCAACACAATTGTTGGAGACAATGCTTAGAGATCGGTGAAAGAGTAATTATAATTGTGGTGCACCTATTCCCCATTAGAGCATTATTACATTGATACCCACGCTCAAGCAATAATTCAACTTAAATGAAGATGAAACTATTTGGAACTTCACTATCTAAAATGATTCAAAATGCTAATTAGTGTTCTTCCCTACAGATATTACCTTTTGCAGATGTATTTTTTGAACTTCTTTTAAGTCTTACAACATCTGAAAATTGGAAAGTAGGTGCATTCTTTTTTACTATGCGTTTGACGTCTCTAAAAGCTCTTTGTCACTGTTCTGAAAATATAGTGTCACAGTCCTGCTTGGGCCTGGATGGATGTACTCCAAAGTCTATCCTTCCCAAAATAGACAAAGAGATATCCAAGTGGTATCTTTCTAGGTTATCGCATTACCCTTCTGTCACGACCTTGACCCCGAACCAGGTCATGATGGCGCCTCTCGTGAAGACAAGGCCAGCCAGACCAAAAGAGAACACCTCATTTAAACAATTAAATACCATAAATAGTTCTAAAACATGATATAATAGCCATAATTTGCAAAAATAACGATAACAACAATAGAACCCATCCCGACACAGCCCAAACCGGGATGTCACAAGTCATGATCAACTAAGAGAAATCCTGATATAGTCTACTAATCACTAAACCCGATACAATAGTTCTAAGAACATGAAAATGATAAGATAAGGGAGGCACGGGGGGCTGCGGACTCCAACAGCTACCTCATGATCTCCGAAACACTGTCTGGATGGGAAGATCAGCACTCAGGAGCGGACTCTGCGATGCCTGAATCTGCACACACGGTGCAGGGAGTAATGTGAGTACTCTGATCCAATGAGTAATAATCATAAATAATGGCTGAAAGCAAGAAAACACGTAAAGGCACAAAGCGGTTCTATATCAAGTAGTAAAATCACTTAAAGCAATAGATCAGTAAAGAAGTCAAATGGAATCCCTTTAAACCAAGTAAAACAGGTAATTAACAAGTAGAAATCCGTCATTCGGGCACAGTATCAATCACTCAGAACAGTATCAGCTCCTCGGGCCCACTCTCATCACTTAGTGCTCATTCTCATCTCTCGACCCATATATCTCTCATAATAACAGAAATCAGAATAATTGTTGCGGCGTGCAGCCCGATCCGTACATCGCTGCGGCGTGCAACCCGATCCATATAGATAGTCGACTACGCTCACTAGGGGTGTGCAGACTCCGGAGGGGCTCCTACAGACCAAGCGCTATATTGCTGCAGCGTGCAGCCCAATCCATATAAGTATTGTTGCGGCGTGCAACCCGATCCATACATATATAATATCCTCACCATTAGGTTCTCAACCGCTCTCAGTCATTAACCTCACAGCCTCTCGGGCACAATAATAGAAGATAGGGATCTCAGCCCACAAATTCCTCTCATTTAGGAATAGTATGATAAAAATCAGCCCGAATCATTTAAAACAGATAGAGTCATGACCGAGGATATGATTTTTAACAAGTATAGTGAGGAAAAATTAGTCAAAATCCCCGAAGGGTTCAAATAGTTGACACGAAGCCCAAATATGGCAATTAGCCCAAATCATGATGATAACAAATAAGTTTCAGTCAAATACGCGGTAAAATCATCAGTCGGGACGAGCCAAGTCTCAATCCCCAATAGTAAAAGACCCCACGCTCATCATCCAGCGCGTGTCTCACCTCAATATAGCACTACGATGTGCAATCCGGGGTTTCAAACCTTCAGGACATCATTTACAATCATTACTCACGCCTTTGCCCCTCAAATCGGCCTCCACGCGCGTCGAATTTATCCAAAATCAGAACGAATACGTCACAATATGCCAAGGGAGCAAAGCCCAAGCAAAAATAATCGAAAATACCAAAAATCCCGAAATTAGCAAAACCCGAGCCCCGGGCCCACTTCTCGAAACTCAAAATTTTTTACATCATTAGATTCCTCGTCTCCCCACGAGTTCATACATATCAACAACATCAAAATCGGAGTTCAAATGACCCCTCAAATCCTCCATTAAAGGCCTCTTAAACTCAAGCCCTAATCCTCCATTTTTAGCCCTTTAAACCCATTAATTACAGCCTTAATTCATGAAATTCTATCATAAGAATGTGTTTTAAGTCCAAAATCCTTACCTCCACGAAGTCTCTTTGATTCCTCTCTTCAAAATCGCCCAAAGCTCTCAATTCCGAGTGCAAAAATGGTTAAACCCTTCAAAAATCGCGAAGGAAGTACATTCTGCCCAGATATAACCGCATTTGCGGTCCAAAAATCCACTTTTGCGGTATCGCATATGCGATCAACACATTCGCTTCTGCGGAGTTCATTAAACCGGCCCAAGCCGCATTCGCGAACCTCTTCTGCATCTGCGCTTCCGCAGATGCAATCCCTTTAGTCGCTTCTGCGGTCCAGCTCACCTGACCCATTTTTGCTTCTGCAAAGAAACACCTGCATCTGCGGTCCACAAACCGCAGATGCGGAAATACCAAAAACAGCAAATCTGAAGCTGCAACACAAATTCCAATTTCCTCGCTAACCATCCGAAATCACCCCGAGGCCCCCGGGACCTCAACCAAAAGCACCAACATGACCCAATATCTTATTCAAACTTGTTTCAATCATCAAAACACCTCAAACAACATCAAATCTACCAAATCACATCGAATTCAAGCCTAAGTTTCTAAAATCTTCCGAAATACACTTTCGATCAAAAACCCAACCAAACCACGTTCGAATGACCTGAAATTTTACACACTCATCCCAAATGAGACCACGAAGCTACTGTAACTCTCGGAATTTCATTCCAACCTATATATCAAAATCTCGCCTAATAACCGGAAATCGCCAAAATACTAACTTCGCCAATTCAAGCCTAATTCTACACCGGACCTCCAAAACCAATTTCGATCACACTCCTAATTCATAAATCACCTCCCGAAGCTAAATGAACCATCGGAACTCACATCCGAGCCCTTTAACACATAAGTCAACACCTTGTTGTCTTTTCCAACTTAAACCTTTTTAAAAGAGACTAAGTGTCTCATTTCTTACCAAATCCACTCCGAACGCAACCTACCTAACTCGATCATATAAAACATGGATAACGAAGCATAATAAAGCAGAAATAGGGGAAACGGAGCGGTAACTCATGAGATGACTGGTCGGGTCGTCACATCCTCCCCAACTTAAACAAACGTTTGTCCTCGAACAAGTCAAGAAACATACCTGAAACCTCGAATAGGTGAGGATATCTGCTCCGCATCTCCCGCTCGGTCTCCCAAGTAGCCTCCTTTACGGGCCGACCTCCCCACTGCACTTTCACTAGAGCTATATCCTTTGACCTCAACTTCTGAACGTGACGACCCAAAATAGTTACTAGCTCCACATTATAGGTCAAATCATCATCCAACTGAACCGTGCTGAAGTCCAAAACATGAGACGGGTCCCCAATGTACTTTCGGAGCATAGAAACATGAAATTTCGGATGCACACTCGACAAGCTGGGTGGCAAAGCAATCTCATAAGCCACCTCCCCGATCCTCCGAAGTACCTCAAAAGGCCCAATAAACCGCGAACTCAACTTTCCTTTCTTGCCAAATCTCATAACACCCTTCATGGGCGAAACCTTCAGCAAGACCTTCTCACCAACCATGTAGGACACATCTCGGACATTCCGGTCCGCATAACTCTTTTGTCGCGATTGCGCTATACGAAGCCTCTCCTGAATCACCTTCACCTTCTCTAAGGCATCCTGAACCAAATGTGTCCCCAATAGCCTAGCCTCGCCGGGCTCGAAACAACCGACTGGAGATCTACACCGCCTCCCATACAAAACCTCATATGGAGCCATTTGAATACTTAACTGGTAGTTGTTGTTATAAGCAAACTCTGCAAGCGGTAGAAATCTATCCCATGAACCTCCGAAATCCATAACACAAGCACGCAACATGTCCTCCAGTATCTGAATAGTACGCTCAGACTGCCCATCCGTCTGAGGGTGAAAAACTGTGCTCAACTCCACTTGAGTACCCAACTCTCGTTGAACAAACTTCCAAAACTAGGAAGTAAACTGAGTGCCCCGATCTGAAATGATGGAAACTGGGACACCATGCAATCGAACAATCCCCCGAATATATATCTCTGCCAACCGCTCTGAAGAATAAGTAGTACAGATAGGAATGAAGTGCGCGGACTTAGTCAGCCAATCCACAATAACCCAAATAGCATAAAACTTCTTCAA